AATTTTTTGTATTTTTAGTAGAGACGGGGTTTCACCATGTTGGCCAGGATGGTCTCGATCTCTTGACCTCGTGATCCACCCGCCTCGGCCTCCCAAAGTGCTGGGATTACAGGCTTGAACCACCGTGCCCGGCTCTTTTCCTTTTTTTTTAACTGCACCTTTTTTGTTTAGACACACAAATACTTGGAAATTTCAAATTTAGAGAAAAGTTGTAAGGATAGTGCAAAGAAAATCTATATGCCCTTTATCCAGATTTATCTATCTAAATATGATTTATCTAATATTTTGACTCATTTATTATCTTTTTCCCCTATATATTGATCTGGGAGGAGAGACTGAACTATCTGAGAGTAAGCTGTATACATCATGGCCTTTTACTCTCTTTTTTGGCGACAAGGTCTCACTGTCACCCAGGCTGGAGTGCAGCAGCGTGATCTTGGCTTACTGCAAACTCCACCTCTCAGGTTCAAGGGATTCGCCTGTCTCAGCCTCCTGAGCAGCTGGGAACACAGATGCCTGTCACCACACCAGCTAATTTTTGAAATTTTAGTAGAGACGCGGTTTTGCCATGGTGGCCAGGCTGGTCTAGAACTCCCGACCTCAAGCGATCTACGTGACCAAAGTGCTGGGATTACAGGCATAGGCCACTGTGCTTGGCTTTCCCCTCCCCTCCCTGCAACCCTGAGACACAGTCTCGCTCTCTTGCCAGGATGAAGTACAGTGATGCAATCTCAGCTCACTGTAACCTCTGCCTGCTGGGTTCAAGTGATTCTCCTGCCTCAGCCTCCTGAGTAGCTGGGACTACAGGTGCACGCTACCATGTCCAGCTAATATTTTTTGTATTTTTAGTAGAGACAGGGTTTCACCATGCTGTCCAGGATGGTCTCAATTTCTTGACCTTGTGATCTGCCCGCCTCAGTCTCCCAAAGTGTGGGATTACAGGCGTGAGCCACCAAACTTGGAGGCCCTTTACTCTTAAAATTCCTAAGATTAAGGATATTCTTTTACATAATCATAGTAATTAATTTTGATAAATTTAACAGTAATACAGTATCTTTAATCCACTGGCTATGTTTCAGTTTTGTCACTTGCCCCAATAATGGTTTTTATAACATTTTTCCTTCTACTGCAGGATCCAGTATAGGATCACAGCTATACATTTTTAAAGTATGAAGCAGCACATTTTTATAAGGTGAAATTCTAATAACAGATATTTTAATTGGCCCAATTATATTTTTAGTTGGTATTCATATAAAAATTGATTTTCACTAGAAAAAAACAATTTTTTATAAAAATTATCTTATTCAGGGTAGCAAATGTCTGTCATTCCTTACATTACACAGGCAATATCAAGTTTCCTATGGAATCTACTGCTGTTTCTTAGGGTAAAATAAATTTTCTCAACTGACTTTGACTTTGGCATTATCTGTGATAACACTTCACAAAAAGTATTTTTCCCTCTATAAATCATGCTGGTACAGTATATTGGCACTTGGTTTTATAGAGAAGCTGGCATTGGCCCTCTTAAGTAAATGAACATGCTCAATTCAAATGACTCACTTGGCAGGAACAAGAAGTTTCACATAACAATTTACGGGCTAATTCATATGACTCCACCAGTGAAAAATGTAATGTAATATCAGAATCTCAGACCAACAAGATACTGAAAAGTTCTTTTTTTTTCTTATAGTGATACCTGTTAACCCTTGCTACTCAAAATGTGGTCCAGAAACACAGGTGATATCTTAATGCCTGTTAGAAATATACTCTCAGGCCCTATTCTGGTCCTACTGAACCAGAATCTGCATTTTAATTGCCAAAGTTTCGTTTATTGGTTTCTGAATTTATATCTGAGCTTTTAAAATAAAAGTAGTTAAATGATCCTCACTATATGCATTAAAACTCCTTGGACAATAAAGAATCTTATGAATATCAACTTATTTGATTTTAATAACAAATTCAAAAGAGAAAAAAATGCAGAGATACCACTTATATGACTTTGGTCAAGTTGCTTCACTTCAATTTCCTTACTTAAAAATGGTGATAATGGCCAGGGACGATGGCTCACACCTGTGATCCCAGCACTTAGGAGGCCGAGGCGGGCAGATCATGAAGCCAGGAGTTTGAGACCAGCCCAACCAACATATTGAAACACTGTCTCTACTAAAAATACTAAAATTAGCTGGGCATGGTGGTGTAGGCTGAGACAGGAGAAGTGCTTGAACACAGGAGGCAGAAGTTACAGTGAGGCGAGGCCACTGCACTCCAGCCTGGGCAACAGAGCAAGACTCCACCTCAAAAAAAAAAAAAAGATAATAATAAGAAAACCTTTACTTTGAAAACCTGTACCTCATAAAGTTATTACAAAGATTAAATGAATTAATGTACACAAAATGCTGAGAAAGGTGCCTGGCACACAATTATCACCCAGTACATTCTGCTATGATTATCAGTATCGCCAAACCTTAACAACTGTTGATTTTAGATGAGTCCTTAGTTTTACCACTGCTGTCTAATGTGTAATAAGATGTTAACTTCTGTAAGCTTCCATTTTCCATCTTTAAAAAGCGAATAAGGAGATAATAGGTGGGGCATGGTGACTCATGCCTGTAATCCCAGCACTTTGGGAGGCTGAGGCAGGTGGATCACTTGAGGTCAGGAGTTCAAGACCAGCTTGGCCAACATGGTGAAACCACGCCTCTACTAAACATACAAAAATTAGCCGGGCATGTTGGCACACACCTGTAATCCCAGCTACTTGGGTGGCTGAAGCAGGAGAATTGTTTGAACCTGGGAGGTGGGGTGGAGGCTGCAGTGAGCCGAACTGCACCACTGCACTCCAGGCTGGGCAACAGAGTGACACTCTCTCTCTCAAAATAATAATAATAATAATAATAATAAACTACATTACGGCATCAAAATGAGGAATAAGTGGCATAATATATTTAAAGGGGATAGCTTGGTGTCCGACATATAGGGAGTTCTATAATTATGTCCAAGAAGAGGTGACATTAGAATGTTGTTTCTTCTGTAATTACAAATACTTAATGACAGAAGATGTTTTTAAAAGTTACCAAACATTTTCTAAATGACAGAACACTGAACTGGAAAACAAGAGCTCTGGGCCATGGCCCTACCTGGCCCTGAGGGTTTGGAAAGGCAATTAACTAGCCCAGGTTTTAATTTTCCCATTTGTAAAATGAGAGGGTTGAGCTAGGGGCCATCAATGATTATTTCCAGTACCAATATCAAATGGGATATTTTAACACCACAGGATTTTAAAGACAACTTTTACAAGGCTATTACAATATTGTCTAAAAAGAAAAAAATTGTTTATATACAAAGTATAAAGCTCAGATTACACACATTTAACACATGATAAATACTACATATTAAGCACTGGTTAAAGGTTCCATAGCGGCCGGGCACGGTGGCTCAAGCCTGTAATCCCAGCACTTTGGGAGGCCAAGGCGGGTGGATCACGAGGTCAAGAGATCGAGACCATCCTGGTCAGCATGGTGAAACCCCGTCTCTACTAAAAATACAAAAAATTAGCTGGGCATGGTGGCGCGTGCCTGTAGTCCCAGCTACTCAGGAGGCTGAGGCAGGAGAATTGCCTGAACCCAGGAGGCGGAGGTTGCGGTGAGCCGAGATCGCGCCCCTGCACTCCAGCCTGGGTAACAAGAGCGAAACTCCGTCCCCCCCAAAAAAAAAAAAAGGTTCCATAGCTGTGTTCAGTTTGTAAAAATTCATTAGACTACACACTTACAGTATGTGTACTTTTCTTTTTCTTTTTTTTTTTGAGATGGAGTTTTGCTCTTGGTTGCCCAGGCTGGAGTGCATGGCACTATCTCAGCTCACGGCAACCTCCACCTCTGAGTTCAAGTGATTCTCTTGCCTCAGCCTCCTAAGTAGCTGAGATTACAGGCATGTGGCACCATGCCCGGCTAATTTTGTATTTTTAGTAGAGACAGGGTTTCTCCATGTTGGTCAGGCTGGTCTAGAATTCCCAATCTCAGGTGATCCACCTGCCTCGGCCTCCCAAAGTGCTGGGATTACAAGCATGAGCCACCATGCTCAGCCTCTTTTTCTTTTTTTAAGACAGAGTTTCCCTCTGTCACCCAAGCTGGACTGCAATGGTGTGACCTCGGCTCACTGCAACCTCTGCCTCCCAGGTTCAAACGATTCTCCTGCCTCAGGCTCCCAAGTAGCTGGGATTACAGGCATGCACCACCACGCTCAGCTAATTTTTGCATTTTTAGTAGAGACTGGGTTTTGCCTTGGCCTCCCAAAGTGCTGGGATTAAAGGCATAGCCACCATGCCCAGCCACAATATATGTAGTTTTCAATATGGATCCTATACTTAGTGAAAACTTAAAAATGTCAGAAAAAGAATATTTCATATAAACCTAAAACTTTAACTCCTTCAGGAGTGAATCAGCAAGTTTCCAGATTATAGGTCCAAAGATCGTGAATCCTGGAGCCTCTCAGGACTTGAAATGTTCCATCTTTATTCCACATCCAGCAAAATTTGAGAACAAGGACATTCATAAAATCTCATGCTTTCATACTCTCAATCATGAGCAGAAACAACACTGGATCTCAATCTCAACTCTAGTCCTAAATAGCTATCTAACTTTGAGTCACAACACCCCACTTATATATATAAGGCTTTAGCTTCTTCACCTATATGATTCAGCACTGTATTAACTCTAATATGCCTTTTTTTTTTTTTTGAGATGGAGTCTTGCTCTGTCTCCCAGGCTATCCACCTCCCCACCCTGATTTAAGTGATTCTTCTGCCTCAGCCTCCTGAGTAGCTAGGATTACAGGCCTGCGCCACTATGCCTGCCTAATTTTTGTATTTTTAGTAAAGATGGGGTTTCACCATCTGGCCAGGCTGGTCTTGAACTCCTAACCTCAAGTGATCCACTCGCCTCAGCCTCCCAAAGTCTTGGAATTACAGGCATGAACCACCATGCATGGCCTTTAACACACTTTTCAATTCTAAAATCTTATGGATCTGACATATTTCCCAGATTTATATTGTAAAAATAATTATATATACTTTAAAATTATAAGCTAGAATTAATTATCCAGGAAATATTAAATACCCATATATAGTTTACTCAATTTTTAAACTACAATGATACATACCTTAGCTACATTTACTTACCTGAGTAAGTAGCATAAAGGCATTATCTGCCCTAAGATGTTTGGTGAGAAATTCCACACAATGTGCTTCCAAGGCTGGGACTGCATATTTCTTGGCGGTATAAAGAGTGGTCATAACTGTTTCTGGACCAATTTGAACTTCATCAGAATACAGAAATCTGGAAAGCAATTGGCACACTTGCAGAGATGATCAGTAATGTTTTAGATAAGCAATCCACCAGAGTTAAATCTCTGAGGGATATTTATTTTTATTATTTTGCATTTTCATCCATCCATCCATCCATCCATCCTTCCATCCATCAACAGGGTCTTCATCGACTCAAGGCTGGAGTGCAGTGGCTTGCCGCAGCTTCAACCTCTCTGGCTCAAGCAATCCTCCCACCTCAGCACCCTAAGTAGCTGGGACTACAAGTTTACACCACCATACCTGGCTAATTTTTTATTTTTTATAGAGACCGGTTTCACCACATTGCCCAGACTGGTCTTGAACTCCTGGCCATTCTCCCTCCTCAGCCTCCCAAAGTGCTGGGAGAATATTTTAAAATATAATGAGGAAACCAAAAAATAATCTGAAATTTTTATCATGACACAGAGGCATAAGAATGATATAATGGACTCTGGGGACTGGGGGTGGGGGCGGAAGGGTGGGAGGGGAGTGAAGGATAACAAGTACACCAAATCTCAGAAATCATCACTAAAAAGCTTATCCATGTAATCACAAACCACCTGTTTCTAAAAAACTACTGAAATAAAAATGAATCTGTATTAGCTTTTGCAATCTACAGGGCATTTGCACATACATCACCTCATTTTATTCTTACTTAATCCTGAAGATTATTATTACTTAATCATGAGACAAATCTATGTCTCCGAGCCATCCTCAGAGTTCTTTGTAGCACCCCACTGCTGCTTAGGACAATAGCGGTTCACTTATCTTTCCCTCATCAAAAGATGTTCACTTAATTAAATCTGCAGGTGGCTGAAGTCGCATCTCTAATTGATTTCTTGATAATAGTGCCTTCTTATTCTGGGCATCTTCTAATCTTTTATTGTTATCCCAGAATTAGCATAATGACCACAGATTAGAGTACTGGGGCTTAGAAGGAATGAAGCAACTTAACAATATATTAAATGACTCCATCTTGCTACACACTTTGTAGTATTTAGGTCCAATTTTTCTCTAAAAATATTATCTAGCAGCCCAATGTTGCCCTCCTCCTAGTTCACTCCTCCTAAATGGTATGTTGAGAGAGAAATCAGCTTTATAGAACTGAGAAAAGAGGGGAGGGAAAGCATCAGGATAAACAGCTAATGTGTGCTGGGCTTAATGTCCAGGTGATGGGTTGATAGGTGCAGCAAACCACCATGGCACATGTTTACCTACGTAACAAACCTGCACATCCTGCGCATGTATCCCGGAACTTAAAATAAAATTTATTTTATTTATTTTTTTTGAGACGGAGTCTCGATCTGTCGCCCAGGCGCAATCTACAACCTCTACCTCCCTGGTTCAAGTGATTCATCTGCCTTGGCCTCCCAATTAGCTGGGACTACAGATGTCAGTCACCATGCCCGGCTAATTTTTGGTAATGTTAGTAGAGACGGGGTTTCACTGTGTTAGCCAGGATGGTCTTGATCTCCTGACCTCATGATCCACCCTCCCCGGCCTCACAAAGTGTTGGCATTACAGGCATAAGCCACTGCCCTGGCCTAAAATAAAATTTAAAAAAACAGGCCGAGCACAGTGGTTCACACCTGTAATCCCAACATTTTGGGAGGCTGAGGCGGGCGGATCACTTGAGGTCAGGAGTTCAAGACCAGCCTCATCAACATGGTGAAACCCCATCTCTACTAAAAATACAAAAATTAGCCAGTTGTGGCAGTTGCTTGTAATCCCAGCTACTTGGGAGGCTGAGGCAGGAGAATTGCATGAACCCGGGAGGCAGAGGTTGCTGTGAGTCGAGATCATGCCACTGCACTCTGGCATGGGTGACAAAGCCAGACTCTGTCTTAAAAATAAATAAATAAATAGTAATTTATTTTTTAAAAAAGAACTGAGAAAAAGCGAAGATTCTCAGTGAAGACCTGGGTGCTTCTTGTTCAACTATACTTTTAGGTCCCCCTTTGTGGCTCCTAAGAGACCCTTGTGCTTACTGCCCAGTTCTCAGCTCCACTTATGATAGCTGTGGCTACTGGAGAAGTACTGCATTAAGAACCATTCTTTCTTTCTTTCCTTTTTTTTTTGAGACAGAGTCTCGCTCTGTTTGCCCAGGCTAAAGTACAGTGGCACAATCTCGGCTCACTGCAACCTACGCCTCTCAGGTCCAAGTGATTCTCCTGTCTCAGCCTCCTGGGTAGCTGGGATTACAGGAGTGCACCACCACACCGGCTAATTTTTGTACTTTTAGTAGAATCCAGGTTTCACCATGTTGGCTAGGCTGGTCTCAAACTCCTGACCTCAGGACCACCTCAGCCTCCTAAAGTGCTGGAATGTCAGGCATGAGTCACCACATCCAGCAAGAACCATTATTTCATTTTGGTGATACTTAAAGACATAAGAACACTTTAGAAAAAAAAATTTTTAACATTATTTACCCGGAGGACTCAGACCCAAGTAGTCTTGGATATAAGCTCCCAGAACACTTACTATACTTGTATTTCCAGGACTGAAGTTGTAAAATGCGGGTTAAAGAAAACCCATTATCTTCTTTCATAACACTTTTATTACGCTGAGGTAAGTGAGGAAAGTTAAGTTCGATTTCATGTCCCTACCCTCTACCTTTCAATTTCCTCATTTTATTCGGATGGCCATAATCACCATGCACAATGAAACTCTGGCCTGTTACATCCCCCACTCCCCACCCTAACCAAATCCTGGCACTCCTCTGATCAGTCATCTTTACAACTGCCTCAAGCGGAGGTATACTACCCTATATCTCAGGTTCAAAAGCAAGGGTGCTGTTTTTCAGGATCACATTTTTCTTACATATTTTTCCCCCTGAAATCTCCTTTTAGAGACTCCTCAGTCAACAGTATCACCCTCATAATACTCACTTGAGATTATGTAGCATACTCTGTGATAAACACAAGGAATTAAAAACTAAGGAAGGCACAGTCCTTCATGGCCAAAGGGAGACGAATGAATAAAACCAGAGAGAAAGCTACCATTTGTTGAGCGTCTACCACATGACAAATGCCAATTCATTTAATCCTTTCACATGGAAGGAAGGTGCTATTCCCTGCATTTTAATAAGAAAACCAAGGCTGAGGAAACAACTGTTTACCGTAAGGCATCATTTCTGAGCTTCTGACTGTTTTCAGTGCAGTACAATAAGGCCAAGAGGAAATAGACTGCTTGGGTTTGAGTTTGTTCGGTCACTTGCTAGCCATGTGACTTAAGCAAGTTATCATCGATGCCTGCTTCTCTAAAAAGATGAGAATAACAGTACCTACTTCATAATGTTGTGAGGATTAACATAAACTAAAACACAAGGCGTTTTGAATAATGCCTGCAAAAAATTTGCCTCAGTAAATATTAGCTATTTATCTGTATGTTGTCTCTTTTTTTTTTATCATTATTTCCCTCTGCATTTTGGAAGATTCCTCGCCATTATCTTCTGGTGCCCTCCTATTTTTCTCCCCCGCAATCACATTTAAATTTCTACAAATCCTTGCTTCTTTCTTAATCATGCCTTTTTTCTCCACTGCTCGATGTCCTGGGTTTATGAATGCAAAAACTTTCCAAAGTCTCCAAGGTGGCATTAACCAAAGTTTTTAAAGTTTCCTTGAGGATCAGCTGCTGTATTTATCTTAGTCTTTGTCATTCATGTTCTGCTTTTCCTTAAATGTCAGATGATTAAACACTGTCTCCAACTTCACTATGCTAAGCAGCTGGTCTTCAAGATAAAACTCTCTCCAAAACAGGATTGGCAGGGAGCTCTGTGTATGTGGGAGGCTTGTTGACTGGCACCTGGCATTAGAGTGGGAAGCCAGCCCTTAGGGCAGGGACCCCTCAAGGCCATTATGAAGAGAGCTTAACCCTGGGGTCCCAAAGCCATATCCAGCAGTCCCAGATCTTCTCAGGCAGTCTGTTCAATTTATCTCAAAAAGCCTGTCCATTGTCATGGGGAATAAGTCTGTAACAACTGGTTAAGGGGATGGTCTATACATAGGCTTTAATTAATTTCCACGTTTTAGCACTACCTTCTCATTTCCACCTTCCTTACTTCCAACTCCTAGCCAAGAACTTTGCTGGGGTTCTGCCGGGAAAGGCACTCTCAGCTCTGCTGCAGCTTTGAAAGCTCTGGATTCTGGGCTCCAGATTCATCCACTCTAGTTTATCCATCAACCAGCTTCCAACTTCTTTGTCCCTTTCTACACTGTTGGCCCTTCCAACCTCTCTTTTTCTCTTCATTGTAATGGACTTATCTTTTTTTTTTTTTATTTCTTAATAATCATTTTAATTGAGAGAGACAGAATGCTAACAGCATCTTCAATTCCCTTCTTAAACTAGAAACCTATGAAATTTTTGTTTCAGGCTGGGTGCGGTGGCCCATGCATGTAATCCCAGCACTCTGGGTGGTTGAGGTGGGTAGACCATTTGAGGCTATGAGTTTGAGACTAGCCTGGCCAACATGGTGAAACCCCATCTCTACTAAATATACAAAACTTAGCTGAGTGTGGTGGCACATGCCTGTAATCCCAGCTATTTGGGAGGTTGAGGCAGGAGAATCCCTTGAATCTGGGAGGCAGAAGTTGCAGTGAGCCAAGATTGCCTCACTGCACTCCAGCCTGGGCAACAGAGTGAGAATTCAAAAAAATAAATAAGGCCGGGCGCGGTGGCTCAAGCCTGTAATCCCAGCACTTTGGGAGGCCGAGGCGGGTGGATCACGAGGTCAAGAGATCGAGACCATCCTGGTCAACATGGTGAAACC